GGGGAGGGTTAGCAGAGAGCAACCTTAATTTTTCTAAAAGCCAACGTTTATTCGCAAATAAACCATTTTTTTACACTAAATTAACAATCCACAACTTAGAAACTTGAGTATAAATGACCAAAATGATAATTTTATTAACCACGAGAGATAAAAAGGGAAATGGCTAACCTCGAGAGCGTGTTTGTACCGTCTGTAGAATTTCAATTCTTTGATGATCCATTGAAGCTCTTCTCTCTGGACTTCCTTTCCTTCTCTGACCCACTGATCAAGTACTGGCACAATGGAAATATTAGGGTCACCCACTGGTGAGATTCTACGGTAGAGTGTTTGAGGCCATTTAGGTGAAGAGAGAGTTTGAGTGGATGTTGAGCTAAAGAAAAGCCTGAAGGCCTTTTGAGAAGCAAATTTGGAATGTGGGTTCAACAAGGTAGAGAGAGAAAGCTTCATTTGGAGAGAGAAAGGTAGGGGTTTAGGGTTTTCACAGACGGAGAGAGAGAGAGAGAGTCAGACTCACTATAGTGCCTTTGGGTTGGAAGTTGGGGTGGCTGAACCCAATCAGCTTGAGCCCAAGTCATTTAGATTGAAATTGGGAAGCCTCCAAGTTTCGGCTTGTTGGGCCGATCTGAGCCCAATTTATTTATATTGAAATTTGAAGCCCACAAGTTTGGGCTTGTTGGGCTTGTTCAACCGAATCAACTTGAGCCTAAATTATTTAGATTGAAATTTTGAAACCTGGGGTGAAATTTATAACTAAATTAGGAATTAGTTGTATGGGAACAAAATAAAAGGGAGTTTGCTGACATATTCACGGGAAGTACATTTACAACCTTAGAATGAAATCACACATTTTCTTTGCTATTTACTTTTGTAAACGCCAACTAAGGAGTAAAATGACTAACTTGACTTAAGACAGAGGTATGATGACCTCTAGTTGGTCATGAGTTCAAAGTCTTGGCATGATGGCCTCGATCTAATTAGTCACGGGTTCAAGTCTTTTACCTTTCGCTCTCCACAGGTAGAGGATGACTACCAATTGATCATGGGTGATGATGCACAAAAGATATTTATGTAAAATCAATCAAGAATAAAATAAAGAGGGTTTAACACAAGCAAACACAAAGATTAGGTGGTTCGATCTGAGTGACCTATTTCACTGAGAATGACTATAGTGGTCAAAGAATCTTATTACTCAAGAGGTGTAATGTACTGAGAGATGTGTGATGCCCCTATGTGTAGGCAGGACTTACAATTTATAGGCAAGAGAATTTGGCTCCGAGAAACTCTAATTGAGGTGTCATCCTCGTAATAGGGAGAGCGGGGATGTTTCCGTGAAGCTCGCATTATCCTCGTAACAAGCGAGGTGAGCTGGGTAATTCCTTAATGCTTGTCTTATCTCGTAACGGGCGAGGTGATCTCGTGAGACTGGTAATGTGCCCCTTGATGACTGCGTCCCCACAAATTCCCTTTCCTCCGACAGAGATTCTCATTTGCGCTAAATGACAGGCTGAGTCTCTCAGGAATGTGGACTTGGCCCAATTGAAATTATTACTGAGTCTTTGTTGGTCTGCATCTGTGATCTTAGTCTTCTTTGAGTCAGGCCCATCATTTGCCCCCATGTCTGGAGTCCAATGGGACTTGGGGGAAAAGGCATCAGTAAGAAATCTTGTCCTTATCCTCTTTTAGCAGTTGAACCCTTTTACCAACAAAACTCTGATGAGGGAGAGGTAAACATAATAGGGCTGTAGAGGAGAAGTTGCGGGTGGCTCTCGAGNACTTGGGGGAAAAGACATCAGTAAGAAATCTTGTCCTTATCCTCTTTTAGCAGTTGAACCCTTTTACCAACAAAACTCTGATGAGGGAGAGGTAAACACAATAGGGCTGTAGAGGAGAAGTTGCGGGTGGCTCGCGAAAGAGCTACACCTCGAGGCTGAGTTTCTAATCGAGAGAGCCACTAAGTTAGAGACTGAGGCTGCTTGCGTGAAAGCAAAAATATAGTTAGACCTAGCTTCTGGTGACTCGCAAGAGAGCCGCTAAGTTAGAGACTAATGTTGCTTACATAAGAGTAGAGGCAGAGTTAGGTTGAACTTTTGACGACTCGCGAGAAAGCCATTAAGATTGAGACTGAGACTGAAATTGTTAGGATTGTCTCTATTTTTCGTATTTCTCTTTATGTAAGGACTCAGCTCGCCTGATTTTGGCGACATCCTCAGCATTAATGNGACTGAGGCTGCTTGCGTGAAAGCAAAAATATAGTTAGACCTAGCTTCTGGTGACTCACAAGAGAGCCGCTAAGTTAGAGACTAATGTTGCTTACATAAGAGTAGAAGCAGAGTTAGGCTGAACTTTTGACGACTCGCGAGAAAGCCATTAAGATTGAGACTGAAATTGTTAGGATTGTCTCTACTTTTNCATAACATATCTTTTGCCATCTTCCACTAACTCCCCCCATGTCTAACCAAAACCTCTTGGGGTCATTTGCCAGAAGGTTTACTTCCATGCATGCATGAGCTACCCCAGGCCCGGTTAGTTGGAAAGTAGGATTATCTACCATTAGAATCTTTTCCATAGGACTTAAGATATCCCTCAGACTTTCCAAATTAAAAAGATGTATAGGTAAACCTGGAAGTGACACCCAAGTAGGAATAATAGGGGGTTCAATACCTGGCTGAAACTCCGAAAACCACTTGAAAAATCTAAACAAGAATCCCTCTATGTATGTTACGTCCTTCAGCCAAGCCCTAACATAATCTTCATACAAATCGAATCCNTGTATTTATGAGTTTTTGATAGTAACTTTAACATGTTCTTTAGCGAGCAGTTTAAAACTGAAAATATTAGACTGGATGAGCATAGGCCTTATGTGAAGGCTGCCATAACGACTTTATCATCCGGTTCTTCAATCTGGAGTACTATTTTGAAATTCGGCCCAGTCCGACTGGTTGACCTGGTGAACCGGAACCTAAACCGATCTGGTTCACCTATAGAATCATTTATGCACCAAAATCGAATTAAACCTGATAAACTGGATAAAAACCCAGTGAACCGTNGGAACAAAATAAAAGGGAGTTTGCTGACATATTCACGGGAAGTACATTTACAACCTTAGAATGAAATCACACATTTTCTTTGCTATTTACTTTTGTAAACGCCAACTAAGGAGTAAAATGACTAANTTAAACCTGATAAACTGGATAAAAACCCAGTGAACCGTTAAAATCGGACGAGTTTAAGCAAACTAGTTGGGTCAAGTAAATTAGTATAAAAGTCTGAGCTTGTCCCATTTTGGGCATTTTTCCCTAAATCGTTTCAAGCCTTTCCCATCCCAAGCATCCACCTACTACTCTGCGCCTCTCCCTTGTTGATGATCGACGACCCTCTTTGTTGCCACTTCTTTCTCTTTCTCTGCGTTGCGAGCAAGCAGGAGACTCCGCAATTGAAGTGGAGGAACAAGAGCTTCGAACAAGAAGGCTGCTTCATAGCTTCCATTGAGGCTTTGTTGACTACCATTGATAGTAGCAGGTACAAACTCTCTCTTTCTCTCTCTCTCTCTCTCTCTTGGTCTTCTACTTAGCCTCTAGTTTTTGATTGTCATCTACACAATTTNCTCTCTCTCTCTCTCTCTCTCTCTCTCTTGGTCTTCTACTTAGCCTCTAGTTTTTGATTGTCATCTACACAATTTCTCACTCTCTCTCTTCATATATATATAAATTTTGTAGTATTTATATGTGTTGTTAAGTTAAAATTTGGGTTGTAATGAACTGGGTTTTGGTGGGTGTAGAAATTTATGTCTTTGGGAGCGAAGAGAATATTGAAAGAGGAGGCATTGAGAGTTTGAAATCAATGACACTTTGAATCTTTGATAATTCAATGATTTATACATGGATGGAAGGCTGGAAGCTCTTGTTCTAATTTATACATTAAATAATTCAATGATTTATACATAGACAATTGAATGATTTATACACTGGTTCGATGGTTAATTCAATGATTTATACACTGACTCGATTTATACAAATTAAACATTTTTCTCTACTTAACTTTATAAGTTTGATTGAAAATTGAATGCATTTGATATATGTTTGATTTTTTTTCTACTTAACTTTACATGTTTGATTTATTTTCATAATTAATGTATTTTTAGCCTATTTATAATTACTTATTATTTTTTATTATATTACCGGTTCGACTAAAAACCCAATGGTTGAATCATTGATCCGATCTCTTTGTCGGGTTGATGTCCAAACCGAGTTTTAAAACTATGATCTAGAAGACTTACTCGTTAAAACGAGTGAGGTAATTTCTTAGGCTTTCATCCCAGTGTTGCTTGATGCTGAACAAGTGGGCCACAAACTTTTGATATCAGCATCCTCCTATGAAGTGAGATACAAAAGACTTGCTTAGTTTAGCAAAAGAATCAATGGAAACTGGTCTGAGCTTGTCGAACCATTGACACGTAGATCCCTTAAGGGTGGTAGAAAAAGCTCTGCACATTATTTTGTTGGTATGTTATGCAGTTGCATGATGGATTTATAGGTATTGATGTGGTCTAGTGGATTTTTTGAGCCGTCAAAAACTTCTATAGTTGGCATTTTGAACTTTGGAAGGAGGTAATTGGTCACATCAGCTATGAATGGTGTGATAGTACGCCTTACAAAGTACTCAACTGTTTTCAGCCCTCTTGACTTGATGGCGTTGAAAACTTTGCCCAATTGGTTTTGAAGTTCCTTGATTTTTTTGTCCTAGGGGTTGGTGATGCCCTCATAAGGGTTGTTGTGGTGGTTTTCATGGTCATACTGGTTTCCCCCTCGTCCTCTTCGAATGAGGGGTCGGCAGCTTGAGAGGATGGAGCAGGCACCCGAGGAGGGAGAGACGGGGCACCACGCTGAGACAGAGTGCCTGGGCACGCTAGGCGAATTGCTATTGATGCTTCAAGTGGCACCCATCCTAGGTGCTGAGGCGCTTGGGGTGGTAGGCGAAGCGCTTCGGACACTAGCTCTCCAAGGTGCTGAGGCGCTTGGGGCGCCACCATTATGGGTGCCTAGCGAGAATCAATTGAAAAGTTGTGAGTTTTGGTTTACCAACAATTGCATCGTCTCTAGTAATTGTGATCCAATGATCAAATTTGCCGACGGGGAACGGGACATCATCCAAACATTGATCATCATCTTGCCTTTGTTGATTCATGTATCTAATGGTAATGGTCATAAAAAGAGGAAAGACAATAGGGTGAAACTAAGTCGTTTCTATAAAACCCAATATATTTAAATTTTTTCTAACAAAGGCAAAACGGTAATTTACTACTACAATACGGGTTGTAAACTTAAATTTTTTTAAATTTCAGATGACAAAACGAACCTTATCGTTGGATTCGTCTCGCAAAATTTAGTTACCCTGTCAAATTTTATCGAATTTTGAGATAGTCGAATTTTTTGCGTTTCACGAGGCAA